ATGATAAACAGAAATAGAACGTATCAGGCTATGTTTTTTTTGTCTTCAGTAACACAATGGGCTTTTTTTTCGTTCCATTTCATTGGAGTGATTAAAATTGGAATGTGTGAATTTCTGGGAAGATTTTTTTTTCAATCTATGATTATTATTTCAAGTAGCTGTTGTTTTCGGTCACACCGAGTTTTATTGTTTTAGTTGTTGTAATTTTTTGGCGTGCACTCGCACCACAACACATTGTTACATATTTTGCTCTCTGTGTATATTTTTTGCAAACGGAGAGCTGAGTCCACTGTAATTTGATACTCGCTGAGGATGACAAATGTCGAAATGCATCCGAAACAAAATTTCATTTATAAATAAATATTCATATTGATTTATGTTTGAAATTTGAAAAAGGAAAGTCACTTTAAGGTGTTTTATTTAAATTTAACCCTCAACTGCATGCATTTTTCCTAGGACTGGGAGTACTGGTATTTGGTTGATTTTTGGCCATAGATAACGAAAAAAATATTCATAATCCTAGATTTCCCATGGTTTAGTCAGGAAATGCGATAGAAATAAGTCAGAGAACAATGAAATCCATTGTTTAAAAGTGTCAAAAATATGTCTAATTTGGAAACCGAATAATTTATTTTGTCAAATTTTCGTTTTCGTGCACATTTTTGTTTATAACTCACCAATCGTACGACATAGACAAATGACGACAAAGACAAAAATAAAGAAAAAACATTGACAAATAAAAATTCCCCTTGAAGCAATGTCATCCGCCGTACGATTCACATTATACAGGTGTTTAAATGATGCCCGCCAAAAGGCGGGCTTATGCAGTTGAGGGTTAATCATAGATTGAAAAAATCTTTCCATGTATTAGACTTTGCGGTACAAATAAATGTTGTCGTTTTTTAACAACTACTCATGTGTGAATTCCGTTTGAATTGTGTCATTATATATACATATATATATATATATAATTCCTGATGACACGAATTAATTTAGACTGGTGAGTCTAAGAAGAGTGCGAATTATGAGCAAACGGCAAAAAGGGTATGTTTGCTTGAATTTGTGATTCATTGGAATCGAAGTGTGTGTTTGTGTGGTAATAAAATGATTCCAATGGGTCCGTCATAAAATTGAACACGGTGTTTCCGTGGTATTTCATCGGATTTGCTATAAATAAATATCATGAAACGAATATTTATTATTACAGTAAGAGAAAATCCTATTTCGACAAATAAACAAGTGCGAAAAACAAAACGCGGTGAATTTATTGGATTTTCACATGGAAACGCGCACATACCCGTTTTTTTATCACATTTTTCTCTCTCGTTTCTCAGCCTGGATCTGTTGTTGGCAAAATCAATTCAGAAATAGAAATTATTTCATTCCACACCGGTGGTGATGGGGAGTGTTGTTGTCGCTTTTGTTTCTTCTTCTATCGTTTGGACGGTAGCAGTCATTAAATCTCATAACACAAATGGAAACACTTCCGTTCGCTAGGAGTGAAGGCGAAAACAAGGCGTATAGATAAATGTTCGCATAAATTGTTACACCATATAGATTTGAATCGCGTTCGATGCGAAATTCAAAGCCGGTTCGAAATAGAATCGAGTCAAAGGATTGTTGATGTTTCGTATTTAATGCATTGTGGTTTTTCTTCGTTATGTTTAGAAATAATATATACAAAGCTTTTGTAGTTCCTTCAAAATCAAGTCGAAATAGGTGAGTCCGATTGAAACGGATAAAGTGGGAGCACAAAAACAAAGAATGTGCTATGAGCTCATAAATTGTAACGCTTTTTTTGCCAATCGACTATCGCTAGTATGCTGCATAATATTAAACGCACCCATTCATTTTTCATTGTTTTCAAATTCCGCGCGAACAAATTACATTAAGCCTTAATGGGAATGGATGCATTTAGTATTATGTGACTTGTCGCTGCTGTCCATTTACGTTTGGCACTAGCAGTCGTAGCTGCCAATTATGGGCAATCAATCAAATGTAAACACACCCATAACGCAGCCCTTCAGCCAAAACGAATTTTTGTTTTTGCTGTTGGTCTGAATAAAGGCGAAAGTCGATTGAATGGACACACACACATACATACACACACACACACAGAGAGAGAGAGAGGGAAAAATTGCGCTTCAACATGAAATGAAAACAAAAAGTGCTACACGTCGAACTGAATAACGTATAACAAATGCTCGGTTTGCTGTAAATGATGAGCGTACTAAATTGTATGCTGCCATCAAGAGAGCTGCCCATTTAGCACACGTGATGCGTTGATCAGCTACAAAAAGTGGCAATAGAGCAGCGAGAGTGCAAAAAAAAATATCCGCTAATAACAATAATTAAATCACGAGCATATATTACATTATATATATAAGTAAAACAATTTGTTATGCTTGCTACCCCATATTGTGTCATCGTTGGACGACGACAACGGTGCTAGCTTTTGTTGTCATCGTCGTTGTCGTCGTCGTCGACAATTCGCTCTATTTCAGCCTCCTATGTATTTTATGGACATTTAAGCGATGATGCTTATTACGGCTTTCTGGCAAGACAACAGAGCGCCGATATGACACATCAACACGACCAACAAAGGGAAATGAAACACAAACACACACGCATACAGCACATTACAGCACAATACAACCAAGTGCAAAATGTTAATTTTTCCCTTGAGTTGAATGATGTGCCATTTTTGGCATTTTAGCGAGATAGGGAGTAAGAGAGAGAGAGAGAGAGAATATGGGAGCGAGGAGCAGACACTGAATGGAATTGCCAATACTATTAAGAAAGAATCTAAATTATGCACATTTCAAAAGCAATCTCGGCTTATGGCTTTCAGAACATGCCGCTTGGGCTATCTGGAATATTTATTTGAAGGACACATATCAAAGCGTTTATGGGAATTTATCAGTAATTTTCTTGAAAATACCATCAAACCATTTTGACTTACATATTAATGATCTCTCTCTCTCTCTCTGTGTGTGGTGTGCTTCATGAAAGTGTTTAATTTAGCCGGAATCACACAATTCAATTTATGACTTTGGTTTTATATATTTTTCTCTGAGACACAGACTGTGTGTGGGCCTGTATGCATGTGATAGAATATCCGCCGCAATAACCGAGAGACAAACTCTCTAACAGCCAAACGGTGTGTTCATGGTAAAAGATTTTTAAAAGCTTTTTGGTTTGCGCGCGCGACACTGACGAGCTTTCCTATTTCGTAAGCGCTTTCCAAGTACGGAAAATGTGGAAAAGCTTATCGAAATCCTCGTTATTACGTAATTACGTATGGGCATATCAGAGTGCGACTGAAAAAAAAATGTGTAACGGTTCTTCGTTTTTTTTCACCATATACAAATGGATCAAGTGAAATTTCAAATGAAATACACCATCAAATAAAAACCATAGGCCACAAAAACATCTAAGTTAAATCAACAACAATCTCTTCCGGAACTCATAAGTCGTTCAGTTATTTACCAGAAAACTACTTTAAAGAAAGTAAAAAGGAAAGAGAACGATATATGGCAAAAACCAATAAAGTGGAAAACCAAAATGGAATTTATGCTAATTGTATAAATATAAACGTCGCAATAAATTTGCCATAATGTCCTAATAAAAGGTTGCAATTGCTTATTTTTCCATATTTTCTTCCTTTTTCTCTCTCTCTCGCTCGCTTTCTCTTTCGAATGAATTAAAACTTCTCTTTGCACAAAAATGCACGTTATCGATGAGAAGGAAATAATAATCGTAAAAATGAATGAAGAATAAAAAAAAAACGAACGGCAATGGAATTCGCATATGAAATATATATATTTCTTGTGTGAAGAAATGTGTCCATTTTTCTTGTGAGTTATTCTTGTTAGCGCCACATTGTGGACGATCAGCTGTTCAACGTCATTCAAACGGCAGCACATAAATATTAAGACGACGTAAATTAAATGCAGTGTGAGCGCGCGCCAACTTGAGCCATCCTCTTCGCCAAATATGGACCCGTGCCAAGAATCGGGTGTTATAGTTGCCGATATACACGTTACGGATGACTTGATTTTTCCTTCAAGTTGCCATCATTTAACCATGCCAAATGTTTTATACGCTTCTTGTGTGTCAGTTTTCAATTGAGAAATATTGTGGCTGACGTTGAAGACAAACAACGAACAAAAAAAAGAACGGCAATAAAAGCTCGTCACTGAAGAGAGAGAGAGAGAGAGAGAGAGCGAGCGAGAGAGAGAAAGCAACATTATCATGGCAAATACGTATCACTTGAGAGCCTCAAAACATACGTAAATCGCTTTGCAATCAAGAAGATAGCTTTTTCTCTTCTCAACACCACCACCACCAGCAGCAGCAACAGCAACAACAACAACAAATGCTCGAATGTAACATTTCTACTCCCTCCTTTAATTTCCCACAGATTTATTTACATACGTACTCTGTGTGCTGGACGTGCGTGTGTTGTAGATTTGTGGAATTGTGCAGGGGTATTGGTGTGCGTGTGTGTATCCGAACAAAATAACTTGGAACAAATGCGCGCGCAAAAAGTCCGTGCAAGAAAATATGTCAAACATACAGGGCGTTCCGAAAGTTCAATCGGCAGAATATATATTTATGCTGTAAACCATTTGTCTTGGTGGATATTCAATTTTTCTGTGCGAAGTGTCAAATTGATACTGTCCGTTTGTTTTTCGTGCAATTCGAAAATTACCAACAATTATTCCAGTTAAAAATTTGGTAGCGATTCGAGAAATCAGCTACACAAACGCGATAGAAACACCCGTTCGGTTATTATTTAAATGAACATTGAACACCCTCATCTCTCGTTGTATGAAATGCTGTTTGGAAAATGCATGTGCCTTCTCGCTAGCTTATATACACATATACATCATTATGTATTTTCCCATCCATTTGGCTCATGTCTCGCTTTCCATAGCTGGCTGCTTATTCTTGGTGGTTTTGCCTTTTCTTCATAAGCAGAAAAATATTTCGCTCACAGTCCGGGTAAGATTTTCTCTTACATTGTATGCGGCGGTGGTAGCGGCGCGATAATAGAAAGCAATCCAACAGAAAGTGAAGAGAGAAAAAAGAATTCGTTGTGCATGTTTCCATTTTCGGGGGGTTTGGATAGCCTGCGAATTTTGTCTCTCTCTTTTTTTTTTAATTTGATTGATTGTATATACGAAAAAGTGTGACAAATCCGTGGAAAACATTTGGAGAAAAAAATGGTATTTTTGGATATTCTTTTACAAAAATAAATAAAATAATAAACGAATTCGATTGAATGTCCGTTTTAATGCTGTTCTGTTTAAATAAACACCAAATCACGCCTAAATCATTTCGTTTCGGATTGCAAATTTGGTGCCCATATCACCAAATGCTAATAAACAGCAAATAAAAGAGAAGAGGAAATAAAATGAACGTTTGCAGAAAAAAAAGAGGAATAAAAAATAGTCGTATACGCATACCCACATTCAAACCAATACACGTATAATAAAACATCTCAAACAGTGCAATAATAAAATCGAGTTTAATAGCAATATTGTTCAATCATAAATAAGTTTTTTTTTTTGTAAAAGAGAAGAGCAACGCCAATCACATCGATGTTACAAGCAGTGCAATTTGAGAATAAAATTAAAAGAAACGAAGCAGAAGAAAGGAAGAAATGAAGAAGATTGAATCACGGTGAAAAGTGAAAGGAACTAAAGGCGAGAAGAGTGCAAGCAACGAGAATATATATAAATCGAAAAGATAAACGTAATAGAGAAAGAGAGAGAGGAAAGTAAAGCACAGGAGATAGGCAGGAATCCAGCTTAATAAATTTCTTGTAGAAATTATATCAACAATCAACAAGCGCAAAAAGTCGTAATAAATTAAAATTAAACTGTGCTAAATTGAAATGGTCGAAAATTATATGGCAACCAAAATACAATGCATTAATACGAGTAATTTTAAAATGCTAACAATATGTAAATTCAAAGTTATTGCAAAGTGAAACGAAAAAACGGAAACAGCAACAACAACAACAACAACAGCAGCAGCAGTAGCAGCAGCAGAGGAAGGAAGAAAGCGTTGCACACGAACTTACACATAACGAACTGAAATCATAAACCTAATCTGAATTGAGTGTGTTTTTTTTTTGTTTCAGTTTGTGTATTTCTCTCTCTCTCTGCTTCTCTCACTCTCGCTCTTTCTCTCTGTCCCAGCCTTTCACTCCTTCACCTCGGCCATTGTCTTTTACACTTTGAGCCGTTTTGCCTCCTGACACAGCAATAGTTAGTGTGTGCTCTTTTTATTTTTTTCGGCTTCCCCGATGCCAAAGCCTGAAATTGAAACATAACACAACATAAATGTATAGATGTGCGAGTGTGAACACCGTGTTGGAATTGTAAAAGGAGTGAAAATATAATCGGAGTGAGGGTATAATAAAAAGAAAAAGAAGCTAAACGCTCACAAGTATGCATAATAAATCAAATACACATCATATAAAACATACATTATACATTCCGACAGCCGTCGTCTACTGAAAATAGTGGAGCGCACAGGAATACAAATATTATTTTTAAACATAAAACAAGTGCTGAAAGCATGTTCCGAGGACACGATTATATATGGTCTTCAAAGTTTCGTAGTAATTAGTCGTGTTGGTGTTGTTGTTGGGCGCAATACATATAACGCGCGCGCGAAAGCACGCCGCGACAAGTGGTACAATAGCCTGGCATTATTACAAGCCAAAGCAACCCGTAGCTATTTGCAAAAGCACACCACCGACTTAGCTCTCTTTTCTCTCTTTCTCACTCACACATACACACACACAGACACACTCTCTCTCTCTATCTCTATCTCACTCGGTCGTTCAATAGCTCAATAGCTCAATCAGTTTTGCCAGCTAAATATATTTGCAGAATCCTCTTACACAAAAACGTTACAACGAAACAAACGAAAGAGCAAAGCGAACACACCAAAAACGAAGACAAACGACAGAGAATAAGAGTCCTGTGTGCATAAAAATAAAGAAAGGAAAAGTGAAAGACGATACCGTTGTTTGAGAGCTGCCGAAACATACCGAGATAGCGAAGCAAGAGAATAGATAGAGTGTGACGAAAGCACCCAACGACTTGTGTGAGAAAATCATCGAACCATTGCAACAGCAGCAGCAGCAGCAGAGATAGCAACAACAAATCAACGCAAATCATCAACTAACGTCTGTTCGATTGCTTAACAACAATTACCTCCAAACCACCAACACACTCATACACACACCAACACATACACAGGTAACACAGATCACCATTCATTGCGATTAAATGGTTAAACTTGATATTTTTCTTGATATAGGAAAATGATAGCGCCTTTCATTTATTTAAAAAGAAAGCTTTCCAAATGCATGCACATCAAATTGTAGCGAATAGTTAAACTAGTGAACGTAGCAAAACTCGGCTAATTTCTCACCTGTTTCATAAACATTTGTAGATCATCAACATCTATATATATATATATATATATATATATATATATGTACACATCGTAGCATACTTCTTTCTACACGTACCGTGCTGTACAGCGATAGCAATTGCTTTGCATATATGCACGATGCACAATGCACGATGCACATGCGAACGCATGGAAAAATGCAAGAAAAGTAGACATTTGAAAACAACCAGAGAGTGGAAGAGGATAATAAAACGAAATGGAAAAAGAAGAAGAGAGAAAAAAGTGGCAACAACAAAATGAAAAGTGGAAAACAATGGGATTCGTATCAGACGAATAGCGCGAGGATAGTGAACAAGTGCAGAATAATGAAATGAAATTGAATAGAACCGTTGTGTACACACATTTATCGTGTGTGATGGCTGCATTTGCTTTTGCTCTGTTTTCTCACTGTTTCCTCCGTGTTTTTCGCATTCCTGCCGATAGTGTCACACAGTTGTTTAAATTATTATTTTTTCTCTCTGTCTTCTTATCTTCTTCTTTTTTTTCATTTGGCATTTACGTTATTTAGATGTTGGAACGGAGTGTTTTTAATTCGGCTGCTTTTGCAGGCAGTATGATTTAGCGTTATTCCAGTCGCCACTATTGAACAATTTTCATTTTTGGATAGAAACGAAATTTGCTAGTTTCTGTTATTGCGATTGCGATTGTTGTTGTTGTTGCCATTTTTCGTGGGCTCTCATCATTTGCCATATGCATGTGTGATATATATCTATCTATTCTCAGTGTTCTCCATGCTTCTCTTCGTGCCGTCGTCACAATTTGTCTAGGATCATTTGCGTGTGTCATTCCTGTGTACATGAAAAAAAAAACCATTTCAAACACGAATTGAATGCAAAACGGCACAAGATGAGGACCTGAAGACTCACTAAACACTCAAAATCGTTCATATTTTGCTGCTGGTTGTCGGTGACGGTGATTGTGACGAATGGTGGCTGTGTGTGTGTGTGTGTGTGGTTGTGCGTGCAGCTGTGAATATAATATCTTGTGTACGTGTGGTACGTACCTATGTATGTATGAGTGTATAGTGTGTGTGTGCGTGTGTGTTAGCTTATATGTGTGAACGTGCGAAACAGAGAGTCTGAAAGCGCGCGTGATACTCTGATGTAAAGCTTTTCACGGTAAGTTTAGTATTTTTGCGCATGATTCGATACGGGATACAGAAGAAAGTTAAACAGTCATACAAACATAAACATAACTTTAACTAGATTCAATCTACGTCAGTATATAATATGTGGTGCTCGACTCGATACGATACGATACGATACGGGAAGAAATGGCCCTAAGCCGAATAATGAAAAGCATACAGACACAGACGCGCGTAATCAATATAGAAATCGAATGCACGATGTGCTGCTGATGGTGCTGTACTGTGTATCAAAAAGAATATACATATATTTGTATGTTTACACACAACTACACACGCCTGACAGAACGTCGTCGTCGTCGTATGGTATGCTCTCGCTCTCTGTACGCGAACGAATGATTCTCAAGCGATAAAATCCTGCATGTACAAAACGGTTGGTTTGGTCTGCACGCGGAGGCCAAGCGAAACGTACCACCGAACCAACCAACCGACACATCGAGTGTTGCTGTGATGTGATGTGATATGATGATCATGGGCATAATTTAATTGTGTATCGCAAAATTATTTTAACGGTTTTTCATTCATTCGCGTGCCTTATTTCGTTTCGGTGCTACTCGCTCTCACTCCTGCCGCCACTCTTGCAATCAATGCTTTTTATTTTCGCTGTTAGTTTTTTGTCTTGGCGAAAGTTTCACGTTGTATTTAGCCGCGATCTCATTTACGTTCGTAATTTCCAGTGCATTATGAATATGTAATGTGTGAAGCAATAACGTGCGTGTGTCACAAGGACACATCATGAAAATTATGGAAAACATGCCAAGATATCGCTAATATTTTCACCCATTTTAAAATCCATGTGCTGTTTTTTTTTATTCCTTCACGTTCGTTCATTATTTACGACGAATATCCTGATTTTCAACGAAACGTTTTCGATGTACTTGTTCTTATGTTCAACATTTTTCAGACACAGAAAATCCAAACACCGAATCCGAAAAATGCCAAGAGAGTGAAAAACGTAAGAGAAAACGGAGTCTGGCTTTTCAAGTTGTTTAAAAAACTTTCGTCTTGTGATTGGGTGCTATTTTTTTCTGTTCATTCTCTCTGTGCACAGTGATTTTGTGCGTCAGTGGTGGCTTCAAGAACGAGACTGTGTTTAATGCCGTTTATTTTTGGTTCGTTTGTGATGTTCGTCGCACTCGGTGTATTTCAAATCGTATTCGGTTCGATTGCATCCGCCTGTGTTCGATCTCGTTATGTGCAATATCGACTATCATTGGGCCATTTTTCGATAATCTATGCGTGCGATTATCGTGATTACGCTTCATTGGATCAGCATGTGAGCCAGCCAATAAATTAATATTGGTAATTCGATTGGTTTTCATTTATCAGAATCGAATGGTGCGTGTATTTGTATGTACTGGCTGTGTATGCCCCATGTCTGTCTGTTCGCATTTGTTTTTCTTCTCCTTTGGTGTGTGGGGTGTGTGTTTCTCCACATAAAATGTCCATTGAGTTTTTGTTTTGTTATTGTTTTTTTTTCGGTGCTGCTCCTACTTTATTTTCGATGGTGTGTTTCGGTATCGTTTGCGTAACAGTTGTTGTTTGTCCCATGATATACAATTTCGTGGGAAATGTGATGTGCTTTTTTTCCCTACCCCCTACCGTTTATTCTAATTTTCATTTATGTAGAGAATGTGTATGCGTGCGAGATTGAGTTGTTATTGTTGTCGTCGTCGTCGTCGTCGTCGTCGTCGTTGTTGTTGTTAAAATTTGTCGTTGTCGTTATACAAGGCCTATCATTTTATGAAAGACATCAATCGCCGTAAAAAGAACTACAAATTAAAAAAAAATCAAAAAAAAAATCAACACACACTAAAATAAACTCGTCTTTTTTGCATGCGTTCATTCATTAGAGCAACATTACAAATTAAACATTAATTACATTCACTCCCCTACTCTCTATCTATTTTTCACTTCATTCTATCCCTGTTTGTTTCTTCTTTTTTCATTTCATTCACAGTGGAAACGCACCTACATCCATACTAAACAAAACCAAAGCCAAACCAAAACCGTTTTTCTTTGCTTTTAGAAATAATATAGTACTACTAACAAGCAACTATAACAACTACAACCATCAACCATCCACCCATACATAGACATAATAGCGAGAGAGAGAGAGAGACCAGAAAACACACGAATTTTATTAAATTATTTATAAATAACGATGTGGTAGATTGTTGTGTATTTGGAAAGGAAAGACAAAAAACACGTCGTCGTTGGCGGCGGCAGAGGTTGAGCTGTGAGTAGATCTGTGCCGCGTTTCGGTTGGGTTTCGTTTCATAATTTTGGAATAAAAGTCCAGTACAATAAAATAGAAGAAGAAGAAGAAGAAGAAGAAGAAGAAGAAGAAGAAGAAGAAGAAGAAGAAGAAGAAAAACAGAAGAAGAAGAAGAAAAACAGAAGAAAAGCCCACCCAAACACATCCACAGTGGAATTAGTTCTCCTTTTGCCGAGAGTAAAATAGAACAAAATAATCCGTAACAATAACAACAATAAAAAAATGAAATTATAATGGAAAAATCCAATTTAAATTTTAATTTTTGCATCTAAATTAGAAAGTGAACGTGATTGTTTTCTTTTTCGTCTTTTATGTTTGTTCGTACGTTCGAAATGATTTCCGTTATTCTTATGCGTTGAGTTGAATCTATGTGTTGCGATTCAGAATCAATTCATTTAGTGAAGCTCATATTTGGTTCACATTCACTCAACCCCTCCAAAATAGTCAACATTAGATATATCTAAATATATACATATAGAGAGAGTCATGTTTTGAATCGTATGTTTTGAATATACATATATATATATATATATATATTTACGAAAGTTTACGACAAACTAAACAACAAGTACTTAACATTCAATAAATAACAACCAACTCAATGAATAATAAAGTAGCTTAGCCTAGATCTATCTAGAGACAAAAAAAAGCAAAACGACTTAATTTAATTAAAATCAAATAAAGAAAACCACTAATGAAACCAAGGAATTAAATTGAATGAATTGTTAAAAACACACACACACACAAACATAGAAATAGCATAAATACAACAAAACTTATTGAAATAACAATAACTAAAACCAAAAACCAAGAAATAATAATAATAAATTAAATTGATTAAATTAAACACATACAAAACGCACGCGAAATGGCAACGCCACCAGAAAGTCCCGTTGAAGAAGTAGTTTATGAGTTAGAAACGACTCGTGTACCAAAACCAATTCCCGTCGCATTGGAGGACCTTTGTCGCCAAACAAAATTCACGCGACAAGAGATTCGAGTTATGTATCGTGGATTCAAAACAGTACGTTCTTCATACTCAAAAAACTTAATTCAAAATCAATATTTTCATTTTTTAGAAACAGTTCTTTTTCTTCCTTTTATTTATTCAGTTTCCTCCGTTTGATTTTCCGTTCTGAGAAAGTAGACGATAGATTTTTGTTTTTGGTTCTGTAGTTGGTTTTTGTTTCATTCAATTTGGTTTATGTTCTTCTATCTCTTCTTAAGTCTTTTTTTTATTGTTGTCAATTTTGACATCCTTACCTCTTGCCCTCCAACTGAAAGACAATGCAATTTAGTAAATATTCGCTTTTTTGTGCAATTTTCTCGTTTTCTCTCTCTCTCTCTCTCTCTCTCTCTCTCTCTCTCTCTCTCTCTCT